GAACAAAAAAGGCTCGGTTGGAACAAAGAAGAAAGCATGTGTTTACCCTTGTTGTCGGGGGCTGGAAAATCGATTTTTTTCGAATTTTGGGAGAACGGATGATGGTACGAGATTCATACTTAAGAACTATAATTTTTAGGCCTAGAACAATTCAGAACAAAAAGGGCTCGGTTGGAACAAGGAAAAAAGCATATGTTTACTCTTGACGTCGGGTGCTGGAAAATCGATTTTTTTCGAATTTTGGGAGAACGGATGGTGGTACGAGATTCATATTTAAGAACTATAATTTTTAAGCATGGAATAATTCAGAACAGAAAGGGCTCGGTTGGAACAAGAAAGATAGTATAAGTTTGCTCTTGGTCCGGTAGACTGTCAAAAAATCTTTTTTTCATTTTTCGGACTTATAGTTCACCTTACGGATTTGTCCTTTTGGAACAATCTTTGGAACAACTAGAACAATCTATAGCGGTATCGAAATGTTCGATTTTCGAAAAACGTGGTGCCAGCTCAAAAAATCATTTTTTTGTTTTATTCGAAAACCGTTTGGAATGGAGCAAAATCACTTTGGAACAAAGTCAGAACAATCTGGAATAACTTTCGAAATTGTAAATTTCGAAAAACGGGGTGCCAACCTCATACACCCCATCTCAGAGCGTCTATAGGACGTGATGGGCGTGACAAACGCCAAATTTTATGCGGTTATTACTAAAAAATATACAGGATATCATTAGTGATATTCCATTTAGATGGAAGAAGACTTTTTTGTTCCTCTCACTTAGCTCTACGCCCCTTTGAAGATGGTGTATTACAATTATGGCACATCCTATATATATAGGGTGTTCGGTAATTAGCTGCCAACCCGAAGTGTGAAGGTAAATTGGGTTAAGACAAACATAAAAGTCCCATACCGTTTTGCGAGATTTGCAATAATTATCGAATTATTGGAGACTTGAATAAGTTCTCTGTTTTTTCGTGCAAATGAATGCTTTATTTAAAAAAATTAGTAAAGGACATGTCATTGAAAGTATTGTCCATCACTAGCCACTACTTTCTCCCATCTTTCTAGCAGCATACGAATACCATGTCGAAAGAACGACTCATCTTTTGAGATTATCTAGGCCATGAGTCATCGATCGGAACATGTGGTAATCGAAAGGAGCAATGTCCTGTGAATACGGCAGGTGGGGTAGGACTTCCCATTTGAGCGTTTCCAAGTAGGTTTTGATCGGTTTTGCAACATGTGGCCGAGCGTTGTCATGCTGCAAAATTACTTTGTCGTGTCTCTCCTCGTATTGCGTTTTTCCTTCAATGCTCGGCTCAAACGCATCAATTGTAGTCGATAGCGATCTTCCATGATGGTTTCGTTGGGTTTGAAGAGCTCATAATATACTATACCCAGCTGATCCTACCAAATACAGAGCATGAGCTTGGAACCATGGATATTCGGCTTTGCCGTCGATGTTAATGCATGGCCGGGCTTATCCCACGATTTTCTACGAAAAAACGTCGTTCGATATCTCTTGGTTTCAATTCGTACGACACCCAATTTCCTTGCTTTTGAATCATTCCTAATGCTTTTAAACATTTGGCAACTGTTGTGTGATCAACTCCTAATGATTCTGCAAGTTCATTTTGCGTCTGACATGGGTCTTCATCGAGTAATGCTTCCAATTCTTCGTCTTCAAACTTTTTCGGTGCGCCAGAGCGTTCTTTATCTTCAACATCAAAATCATTATTTTTAAAGCGTTTACACCAATCTCTGCATGTTATTTCCAACAGAACATGGTCGCCGTAAGTCTCCACAAGAATTCTATGTAATTCAGCTGCAGATTTTTTTTGAAAAAAGTAATGCTGTAAAATTCCCCATAAATACTCTTTTTTTGGCACGAAATTCGACATGTTTAACGCTTTGAAAAAACATGTTATTTGCGCTTCGGCGAAATAACATATACTGTCACTTCGAGTCTAATGATAGAGCTTCACAATGAAGTTGGCTGTAGTATTGCCCGATGCAAAAAGGCTAAGATAATACCATCTGTCGGGAAACAGCGAGAACTTATTCAAGTCCCCAATATTAATTACAGAAATCTGACGAATGAGCGCGCATTGAGATGGATGATTGGAGAAGCGTCATAGCCTCTCGGGTTACAACGTGATCCAGTCAACTGTTGGGAGCGTGTGACGAGACGTAAGTGAGGCGAGATAAAACAACGAATAGCGGCGCGTTGTCCTTTCCCTCGCCGCGCACTGGCAACAGTTTTTGACATCGACTGGGTCGCAAAGTGGCCTGAGCAGCTGCAACGCTTCTTCAATCTATGTCGGCACGCTCCCACTCCTTAGATTTCTGTCATTAATAACTCGATAATTATTGTGAATCTCGCAAAACAGTATGGGACTTTTATGTTTGTCTTAACCCAATCTACCTTCGCACTTCGGGTTGGCAGCTAATTACTGGATACCCTGTATATTTCTAACCAAAGACATGTTTCTAGGACATTACCATTAACACGACTATACATAAAATTCATGTCTGCCATTTCTGGCATTGGCGTAAAAAAACCATAATTATTGATGTCCGTGTTCGTTTAAATTTTTAACTTTGCACTTGTAAGCAAAAAATGTATACTAATTATGCTGTTAACTTTGACTGCGAAGATATGGAAGAAACACATACCCTCACACACACACACACACACACACACACAATATTAACACAAGACTTTTTTTGTTTCTTCAGTCGCGTTTAATCGCTAAAAAAAATTTAAAAAAAATTAAATAAGTTCAATGTCAATTTCTTTATGTCGTAAGTGAGTTAATGAGCTACGATCATACGAACTATGGACATAATTAAACTTATTATTTATAGCGATGCTTTGCTGAGGAATATTGCATTGAATGAGTAAATTTATTGCCAAAATGCTATGCGACAAGACGTTCAGAACGGATTGAGAATGAACCCACGAAATATTTACAATTACTTCGAATTATTACAAACAAACGTCTACCTTGAGACATATTTACTGTTGCTAAATCGACTCATTACTATGATCGCCGGGATCATTATTCCATAAAAAAATATTCATGCAATTAATTTCAGTTTCTATGAGATCTTCTCTCTGAAGAAGTGAACCAGAAACTATTTCACAAAACATTACACAAATAAATCGAAGATGGGCGCGATACAAACTTGAAAACCAAATCAAATATTTACGCAAATATTTCAGCATTTTATAAATCGATAACTTTCTCAGCAAACACAATATTACATGTAACGTGCATGTTAGTTGTAATTTCCTACTCAACAATATAACTGTTATATAACACATGTGTTACTCTTATATAACACATGTGTTATATAACAGTTATATTGTTGAGTAGAAAATTACAACTAACATGCACGTTACATGTAATATTGTATTTGCTGGGTTATATTTCGCAAAATTGTATGCAATATTTCAAGCATATGCAATAAAAACTTTTATTTTTTGTGACAGATATCATAAAGGAAATTAAGTTAGCAATAAATAAAATTCCATATATTACATAAGTTCATTTGTCTATATTTATTAAGGCCTTTTGACACATTTTAAGCAATACTAAATAACCTTAAAACATTTTACCTTTTTTCAACAACCTATACAGGGTGTATAGGTGCCCGGTACTTAGCTGCCGAAGTGTGAAGGTACATTAGGTTAAGCTGAAAAGAAAAATATAATTTTGCGAAGAATTGCGATAATTATTGTGTTATTAATGACAGAAATCTAACGAATGAGCTTACGCCGAGATAATGATTGGAGCGGTATCGCAGCCTCTCGGACCATAATGTGATCCAGTCGACCTAACAATTGTTGGCGACGTGCGGCGAGATATAACATGAATAGCGGCATGTTGTCCTTCCTTTCGCCGCGCAACGGCAACAGTTTCTGAATCGACTGGGCTGCTCTGTGGCCCAAGCGGCCGCAACGCTTCTGCAATCATCTATGTCGGCGTGATTCCACTCCTTAGATTTCTGTCATTAATAACTCGATAATTATTGCGATTCTTGCAAAATTATATTTTACTTCTCTTTTCAGCTTAAACCAATCTACCTTCATACTTCGGGTTGGCAGCTAATTACCGGACACCCTGTATATGTAACTCTGGTGCTCTTTTCTCATATACTTCCATCAGCGACGAAAATATTTGGAAATTTTTGGTACACGTTTTTGAAACGTTCCAGCGCACGATGGGTAACACACGTGTCTCTAAAATGCAGCAAATTCTAATATAACAGATCGTGATCTATATGCAAGAACCTCGGATGAAATTCCAGCCAACTCTCCTCCTCTCTTCATCCCCCCCCGCTTTTCTCCAAATATCTCACTGATTCACATACCTTTGACGCTTTTGTTCAAATATGAATTATATTTCGGACTCTCTTACTATCGAAACTTTGAACATCAGAGAAACGTGGCTGCAATATTACACGAAAGATCGATTCTATCCGAACGCATTAGGAAGGTACTCACTTTTACAATCGTTCTAATTTATTTTCTTACGTCCTCTTTCATATAATCTTATATGAGAAGATATTAAAGATATTAAAGAAGATATTAAAGAGAAGATTTAAAGAATATTATAGCTTTCTCTATATGAAATTTTACCACGTTTTCTACTAATACAAAAACAGACTTTTAAGAAAAATTATTTATAAAATTAATATAAAAGTATTGTGTGCAATTATATATAATTATATATAATTATATATAATTAGTTTTTCCTAAACTGTCAACAAGGTCTAAAAATCAGTAAATTTTTGCTAAGAAGCAATAAATTTGTGTGAACAATAGACTGCAGTTCTTAAAATATAAATAGCGTATATGAAACGAAGGGAAAATAGATTAAGAAAGAATACCGATGTTTTTCTCGGTTAAAAAATTCTTTAATAATTATTAGAAATTATTTTTTTAATTTTCCTTAAATATGCTTTTTATGTTGAAGTGGTGCGAAAATAAACTCACTTATATTCTGTGCTGTTCTCGTCGTTCGGGCGGAATCGTACCAAGTCGACTCCGTGGAACACCGCGATGACATCCTCGTCCAGAAGAGCATCCAAGGTATCGACGACTCTCCGTTGCACGCAACGCCTGAAGGTCTCGAGAATCTCGACTTGCTCGGAGTTGTTCCGCGACTCCAGCGGACAATTCTTAAGCATGGACCGTAATCCGGAATACCATTTTACTTTATCGTCGCAACTACTTCTTACAACCGTAGTCACTGCGAGGGTAAGCATGTGGAGAGCGCGAGGATGCATCTGCATTTAAATGCATATACAAATTTCTCAGAAGATCAGTGACATTAATGGTTAGGTACGGTTAATTAAATTAATTCTCTCCCTATCTTTCTCTCTCTCTTTCTTCTTCTTATAGAGAAACATGCATTTTTGATACTTCTTATCCGTTTTTAATACGGTATTTTAAAACAATCGTTGTGCAATACTAAGTGACATTTCATTAAATTTTGTTCAAATAATACAAAGTTACATTAATTCGTTCTTTTTCTTTTTTTTTTCATTATTGAACATTACTCGTGATGACACATTTGATAAAATTATCGAATATTCCATAATTTATATCGAAATTATCGAATTCGTTAATAATATTATTACCGAGAACAAACCATGTGTCAGAAGGGAGACATTTAAATTAAATCAGATATTATCGGATATTTAAAACTGATAATGTCCAAAATGTTCACGCGCGTTACTCACCCTTCCGTCCTATTTTCCCGCTTCTTTCAAGTGCGAGATAATTTTGTCTTCGTTATCATGTATAACGAGTATTAAGTAAACTACTTACTTTTTAATAAACTACTTCGTTTTTAAAATAGCTAAATATGAGCATTGTGGAACTCCTTCTCGGGAAACATATTTAATCACTTTTCTATCGGAAGCTTTTTCAAAGTTACATGTTTCATCTGTTCTTATCTTTTCCATATTCGTTTTTTTTCAGTAGAAATATGACGTCTAAGCGAATATACTTAAGCAAGTTAGGATGAGACGGTCGACAACGAAAAGCAGGGACGATAACTGCAAAGGAGCTAAGATCGCTCGCGTCGTGTCTCGACGCACTTGAAGTTCACAGAACAAGATGTTTCCGCAGTTCTTTACCACGAAGGATCGGCACTTTTCCAGAGACCTCTTCTCCAACGGATATGTCGCGGTGCACTGCAAAAGACAGTCGTGCGGCCGATGCATCCCGGACATTTATACGTGCAGAAAATAGACTAAGGTGCCATGCAAGCTGTCATTACGAGTCATCGAAGGGCATCAAGGTAGCGGTCAAAAGGCGGCCGGACTTCACGCTCGACCAATCTCTCTCTTTCCGCTTATGACAGTCCAATGTATGACGGTATACGGACATTCTGCGATTCTTTCCCCGATGATAACTGGAATCTGTCGGTTTCCGATGTAATGTAGCAGCGGATATAGATGTCTTCGTCGTTACAGGAACTGGTCGAAACGTATTCGCGAGTAACGAATAACGATTTCGAATAAGCATTTATACGAAAGTATTTGTGTGAGTTTTATATTGTATACATAGCAACTTCGTTCTTATAAAAATATATCGGTGTACATAAAATGCTTTTGGATACCATTTTTAATGCGTTGATAGAATGGAGAGAAATAAAATAATTTTTAGTTGTAAAAATGATAAAAATGGGAAAATTTTCGAGAAACATTCACAAACCTGCTCTTATTTCAATCTTATGTATACCATTGATAATCTAGCATCAACTCAAAATGAAAATAAATGTTGCGTACGTTCGTATTGCTGAGAACAATGTTATTTTGCTGCGAAATTATAAAGAATACAGTTGCAGTTTATTCGCCGAAAGGCACAATTGCCGAGCTAGAGAGGGGAATCGAAGAGGTTTAGGAGGAAGTATGTTCAGTTTGTCTCTACATTTAATGATTCCACATTAAAATAAATCATGATCCGAATAACATATGTATATGAAAATAACGTGGAATTCCCGATTTCAATTTTTATTTTACTAAAACACTTAGATAAACTTTACAAAACTTTATTTACTTTATTAAAATTATATATTCTGTGCGTAACACAATGGATCTATAATACACAGTGGCATTTTAATAATAATGAAAGTCGAACCTGTGAGAAAGAGAATGGAGAAGGAAAGGGGGGGGGGAGAGAGAGAGAGAGAGAGAGAGAGAGAGAGAGAGAGAGAGAGAGAGAGAGAGAGAGAGAGAGAGAGAGTAAGTACGAGAAAATATTTGGTCATTAAATATGAAATGTCCGATTTCCTTAAGTAGTAAGTTCGACAGTCGATATCTCTGACATTTCACCTTTACAGTCCTTGGTTTTTTTTTGTAAAGGTACATTATCACTCTTTCAAACGCATGTTTTGGTTTGTGATTGTCTTTTGAATTGTCTTTGTTACAGCAATGTTTATGTAACCACGGATAAGCTAAAAATTTGTGTTATTTTCGAATATAAGTTCCGTCATGAAACAAATGCAGCACAGACAACTCGAAATATCAACGAAGTATTTGGTGAAGATGTGGCTAATGAACGCACAGTACGTCGATGGTTTGAGAAGTTTTATTCTGGCGATTTGAATCTTGAAAATGAGCCACATGGGCGACCCGAGACCAAGGCGGATAATGATGAGCTGAAAGCTGTAGTAGAAGCAGATACATCTCAAATTACGCGTGAATTAGCAACAAGATTTAACGTTACTATTCCAACAATACTGGGTCACCTGAAACAAATCGGCAAGGTAAAGAAGCTGGATAGATGGGTTCCGCATGAGTTAAACGAGCGTCAGAAGAGAAATCATCTCGAAGCTTGCCTTTCTTTACTGTTATGACATAAAAGCGAACCACTTTTACATCGTATTATTACATATGATGAAAAATGGATTCTTTTTGACAGTCGCAAGCATTCGTCACAATAGTTGGATATAGATGAAGTGTCGAAACACAGTCCGAAACTAAATATTCACAAAAGAAAGCTAATAGTATCTGCTTGGTGGTCCAGCGCTGGTATTGTCCACTACAGCTTCATGAAACCTGGTCAATCGATTACAGCAGATATCTACGGTAACCAACTGGACGAAATGATCAGGATGCTTACGATTAAATAGCCGAGATTGGTCGATAAAGGCCAATCCTCTTGCAAGATAACGCTCGACCATATGTCGCATAAACAACGTTGCTCAAACTACAGCAGCTGGACTTGGAACCTCTCTGTCACCTACCATATTCACCAGACCTTGCACCAACTGACTACCACTTCTTCCAAGCACTAGGCCACTTTTTGCAAGGAAAATTATTCAATTTTCAATAAGGGCATACTCTGATTAATTGTACTATTAGATCATTAAGTATGAAATGTCCGATTTCGGATCAAAAGTTTGGTTTATTATGTCTCAAACCAGAAATAACAAAATTAATCTAGGTATGCGCCTAAACTATCGACACAGTTCTGCCATTTTAACAATAGCTTATTCATGCCAGCAACAAAGAAGCTTGAAGAGCGAGTGGCGATGAAATCACAGAAAACGTTTTCCAGAAGTTGTCCAGAATTGAATATTTTTCTTTGCAAGAAGTGGCGCAGTGCCTGGAAGAAATGGTAGTCAGTTGGTGCAAGATCTGGTGAATATGGTGACAAAATTTCCAAATCCAGCTAGCTATAGTTTGAGCAACGTTGTTTGTGCAACATATAGTCAAACGTTGTCTTGCAAGAGGATTGGCCTGTCTCTATTGACCAATCTCGGCTGCTTAGTCGCAAGCATTCTGATCATTTTATCCAGTTGGTTACAATAGACACCCGCTGTAATCGATTGACCAGGTTTCATGAAGCTGTAGTGGACAATATCAGCGTTGGACCACCAAACAGACACCATTAGTTTTCTTTTGTGAATATTCGGTTTCGGATTGTTTCGGCACTTCATCCATATCCAACTATTGTGACGAACGCTTGCGATTGTCCAAAAGAATCCATTTTTCATCACATGTAATAATACAATGTAAAAATGGTTCGCCTTTATGTCGTGATAGTAAAGAAAGGCAAGCTTCGAGACGATTTCTCTTTTGACGCTCGTTTAATTCATGCGGAACCAATCTATCCAGCTTTTTTACCTTGCCGATTTGTTTCACGTGATCCAATATTGTTGGAATAGTAATGTTAAACCTTGCTGCTGATTCACGCAGTTTGAGTTGTATCCGCTTCCACTACAGTATTCAACTCATTATTCGCCTTGGTTATTCGCTATTATCTTCACCAAATTTCGTTGATATTTCGAGTTGTTTGCGCTGCATTGGTTCCACGACACAACTCATATTCGAAAATAATACGAATTTTTAAGTTATCCATGGTTACACAAAAATTACTGTAACAAAGACAATTCGAAAGATAACCACAAACCAAAACATGCGTTTGAAAGAATAATGATGTACCTTTACAATAAAAAAAACTAAGAACTGTAAAGGTGAAATGTCAGAGATATCGACTGTCGAACTTAGTACTTAAGAAAATTGGACATTTTATATTTAATGACCTAATATTTCTAACTTGAGATAATAAACTAAACTTTTGACTCGAAATCGGACATTTCATACTTAATAACCTAATATTTAGTTTCTCGTAAATATATGTATTGGGTGAGTGCAAAAGTTCGTGCGGAGTTTGTGAGTAAAAGTCACACAGTGATTAGGCAAACAAAAATCTTTATTCAATCAATGATATATTCTCCATCGTTTTCTATAATCTTTTCCCAACGTTCTGGCAGCATACGGATGCCTCGATCATAAAAACTGCGCGGTTTAGATTCGAAGAACGAAGAGACGCCGTTTTTTAAGGCCTCCAAAGAGTCAAAGTTTTTTCCATTTAAATAATTTTGCAATGACCGGAACAAGTGATAGTCAGATGGTGCGATATCAGGAGAATACGGTGAATGCGTTAAGACATCCCATCTTCAGTTTGCGCAGCGTCTTTTTCGAAACGTGTGGTCTGGCGTTGTCGTGATGAAAGACGACTCCCTTGCGATTTGACAAAATCGGACGTTTTTCTTTTATTTCTCGATTCAGATTGGTTAATTGGCGACAGTACTTGTCCGAATCAATCGTTTCGCCAGCGGGGAGAAGCTCGAAATAGATTATGCCCTTGCAATCCCACCAAACAGAGAGCATCACCTTCATCGGGTGCAAACTGGCCTTTGGCATTGCGTCACCATGCTCACCTGATTGTTTCCATGTTCGTTTGCGCTGAACATTGTTGTAGAGGACCCATTTCTCATCGCCCGTCACTAGTCGATCCAAAAACGACTCGTTATTGAGCCGCCCGAGTAAAGAAACGGCTGCAGAAATTCGCTTGATTTTGTTCTTCTCGATCAGCAAATGGGGCACCCATATATCGAGCTTCAAATCGAATCCCATCTTTTTTAAACGCCGAAAAGCGGTTGATCGGTCAACGTTTAGTGCTGTAGCAACTTCTTCTGTTGAAATTCGCGGATTATTGAGCACTAAAGTACGCAAAACATCGTCATCAATGTCAGAAGGTCGACCAGAGCGTGGCTCGTCTTCAAGGTTAAATTCTCCGCGCTGAAATTTAGCAAACCATTTTTCCACAGTTTGTTTAGCTGGTGCTTCATCCTGATAAACATCCTGAATGTTTTTTACGGCTGCGGCAACGTTTATTCCCTTCCGAAACTCGTAAAGCATAACATGCCGTAAATGCACCTTATCGATACTCATTTTTAAAGTGATATTTCTCGAAGCAGTTTGTATGAAAACAAATGATTTTTTTTTTTAATAACAGCTGAAGACGTTACCTTTCCAACGTTATATAATATGTAGATGGAAGTATTAATGACAACACTTTACGACGCTTATAACTCCATCTATTGAAACTCCGCACGAACTTTTGCACTCACCCAATATAATGTTATGTTATAAAAATCTCTCTCTCCCCCTCTCTATCCCTCCCTCTCCCTCTCCCTCTCCCACTACACACACACACCCACACCCCCACCCACACACCCATACACACACACACACACACACACACACACACACACACACACACACACACACACACACACACACACGCACACACACACGCACGCACGCACGCACGCACGCACGCACGCACACACACAGACACACACACACACACACAGACACACACATACACACACACACAGACACACACACGCACAGGGTGTTTGATAGCTGATCATGCAGATGAAAGTTGGAGATAGATTGGGTGTAGCCGAAAAGAAAAGTCATGTACCATAATGTCAAATTGGCAATAGTTACCGAGTTATTAATTAAAACATGTGAGCCAACGAGCGCGTAGAGAGCGGAGGTCGGCCGCAGTAAGCACGTAGACATTTGATACAGGCGGAGTCAGCGAGTGGCGATAGGCAAGCGCACGCGGCGAGGGGCAACGTAAGCGACAAGAGGCGATCGCGCGCGACGAGGAGCGAGCGAGCTTTTTCTTCATAGCTTTTTCCTTATAGCTCGCTCGCTCCTCGTCGTTCGCGCTCGCTCGCTCTTCGTCGCGCTCGCTCGCCTTTTGTCGCTTGCGCCCGCTCACTCCTCGTCGTTCGCGCTCGCTCGTTCCTCGTCGCGCGCGTTCGTCTCTTGTTGTTTACGTTGCCCCTCGCCGCGCGCGCTCGCCTACTGTCACTCGCTGACTCCGCCTGTATCAAATGTCTACGTGCTTACTGCGGCCGCCCTCCGCTCTCTACGCGCTCGTTGGCTCACATGTTTTAATTAATAACTCGGTAACTATTGGCAATTTGACATTATGGTACATGACTTTTCTTCTTGGCTACTCCCAATCTATCTCCAAGTTTCGTCTGCATGATCAGCTATCAAACACCCTGTATATATATTCGTTGCTCGACATATTTTCCAATAGGACACGATCGTTGACATAATTTACATAACAGTCACATCCGAAAAAGCTATCGATTTTTAAAAGACTGTAAATTTGAAAAGTTTATAGAATACATTGCAGAGATTGACTCGCTTCTTTGATGCTCTTGTACAATATTCTTCATCCAAGATACAGGCAATGCATTTAATAGTTTTTGACTTTGTATTGATTGAAGTTCATGGTGTCCCAATCACCGCTTGTAGTTCTGATATCTCAGGCTTTTAAATATTGACGAATAAATTATCCAAAATCGTTCTATTCATATGTATACTAGTTGTACAATCATCGTTTCCATAATCAATAGATAAAAGGTTGGGACATTTTCCTTAACAAATTTTATGACACCTGTATTATATGATAAAATAAATTACTATCAATTGCTACAAATTGCTTTGTATAATTTTCAGAAGATACATTTTTTCGTTGAATACAAACATATTGATACACTTGTAACTTTTATTAATTGACTGCCTTTATGAATTTAACATAAAGACATCATGCAATTTTCGGCTGAACTAATCCTCTCGAACATAAGCTTTGAGCACACTCGTGAATTTCTATATACAAAAGTATTCAGTCTTCAATATACGAAATTTATCGCCCGAAATCCTATCATCGCACATGTGCGATGCAATATCAACAGTTACGTCTTACAGACGTAGGAATTGTAACTGCATACCGAGTAATTGTCTTCTGGGATCGGCTCGCAATCGTCGCGGCCACCAGAGATTGTCCCCTCGTTAGATTTCATCCCTTTAACGGAATATTTGTTTCTCGGCATACCGGAAGTGATGCATAACTCCAACAGAGCCCACTCATCCGTGGAGATTAGCGAACTCTCTTCGCAGAGTGAACTCACCGAACTCTGGCGCGATGGTGCCGCATTGGACTTCAGTATGTTCCTGCCCGACAAGTTGCTATCGTCGTCGTCATGTTCCGTTTTATTGAGTGTCGGCGCGCCATATTTGGCGACATGAGAAGACTGCAAAGACACGAAAGTACCGTCGACGGCATTACAGTTCTCACTTTGCGAGCGCTGATGCGACGACCTGCGAATGCAATACGGCGAATTGTTGATTCTCTCACACATGATGCTATCACAGTTTCTCAACGTCTGACTTGACGTCTGTGCCATGCTATTCGTTGCTTTCCCGTAGCAATTGAAATTACTGGACGTCGCATTCTCGGCGAAGCGGTCCGTCGTAGCAACGTTCGGAGTTTTGAACGACGACGGCAATACGACGTTTTTAACAGGGTAAACCTTGCTAACGCAGTACGATGGTGACAAAGAAACTGGGAAACTTCCCATAGCTCTTGGATATGCATCGAATTTCTTCACCGTAGGTGCTATTGTCGTAGACAAAGAACTCGATACCTAGACAAAATTATTGTAAAAGATCATACGTGTCACGAACACAATATATATTCACTTTGAAAGTTAAATTACAACAAGAATGAGTTTTGCACAAACTCGATAAACTCAAGAAACTAAAAATAGCACATCTCTGGTTTACATATTTTTTCATAAATTTGAATTTATTTTTTTTTGGATTTAGTTTTTAAAATCTATATAAAATATTCGTCATTTATGCTTTGTATTTCCATTAAAAAACAGGAATATAAAGCATATATTTGAATTTTATTTTACTATGTATTTGTAATCTTAATAGATCTTAAATATCTTTTGTGCAATATATCATTGAATTTGCCTTAGAAGGCTATCATCCTATGAAATAAAAGATAATATTCGATTAAAAGAAATGAAGTTTAACTTCGAGATGTCCTCAACGCCTTCACTCATAAAATCGTTTCCACTATACAATACCTCCTTGATATTAAATATTTATAAACTATTTTTTTTCAAGTGTCCATCCTATACTATATATGCGAATGATTTACCTTTGGCATTCCGGATCTAATACATTGTGCTAAAATGATATCTTCCTCTTCTTCAGAAAGTCCGACATTGTCTTCGTAAGGCAAACATTTTCTCGTTATATTCTTTCTCTGTTCCCCATATCCCGATTGAAAATATGTTGATGAAGTGGAAGATGTCCGCATATCCGTTACTTTAGGACTTTCCATAGTTTGTGCTAACGGTGATCTAATTGATGGTGACATGTGTGTTGTGCTAAATCTCACCTGAGATATAATAAATTATTCAAATCAAATAAATAATACTCTTTTGTATACAAGATATCTTATTTCAATTTAAACGGTCAATTTCTAGAAATCACGAGGTTTCAGAAAAAAAGTTTAAAAAAAAAATTTTAGAAAAAAGATTTTAGAAAAAAGAAACAAAAATATTATAACGTTAGAGGACATAAGATAGTGTCATTGGTTTGACTTTGAATAGTTATTTGAAGACTTTGAATAGTTATTTGAAGATTATGTGAAGGTCACATTCAATTTCTTAAATGGAAATGCCATGCTTTTTTATTGCATATTCTTACTTCGAGACGTTTTCAAAACACTATAATAAAATATTTTTTTCATAAAATATTTTTCGATTTAGCTTGAAAGTTACAATATCCAATATACCAAAGGTATATTGTATAAAGGTCAAATCAGGTGAGGGTGTCTGTTCATGCAGAATTGGTATTTGTACCAGTTACACCATTACTATTGTACTTATCGATATAAAAGCATGTTTCTCCAAAATTGTTTATAATCTGGTCGTTCTGGTTAATGAAGAATTGTAACACGCAATCGCAAGTTCAATCGTCTCTGAACAGTCTTTTGGAAAGCAAAATTATCTCATTATCTATTAGGACAATGTCAGATTACTCTCCTACTGAAATTTAGTATTCTCTTAACATACCTCCACGCGATTTGATTTTTACACGATATATCTTTAATAATGCTAATACCAGCAGTATTGTAAATTTCAAGCCTTATAATTTGAAAAACATTTAATGAAAACTTGGTAATAATGTCTTAAAAAGTTCTTGAGGTAAGCTATAAAAATATGCAATAAAATGAAGGTTTCTATTTAAGAAATTTATATATTCAAGAAATAAGGTAATCTTCACATAATTTTTAAACGACTATCCAAGCTAATGGTACCATCTTATATTCCACTCGAAGTTATAAAACTTTTGTAAGAAATATTTGTTTCTAAAACCTTATAATTTCCAGAAATTGACTGTTTAAATTAAAAAGAGTCACCTTATATCGGTGCTGGGAATTAAGTGAGCAGCGCGAGCCGATTTCAGAGGCAACGCTCGGCGCTTCCCCCACTACCTCTCGAAGCGCGGCGGCCAAGCCGCCGATCGCGCGTGAGACGCTCTGCCTCAAGAACGGTCTCATATATGATATAAGATGAGATCGTACCCTCCGTCAAACCAAAATTAAAATATTTATTTATCCTTAAAAATAATTCTTACTCTCATTAATGATGAAATATTACGCTTTTATTTCTAATATAATAAATTCTCTTTAATAATAATATAGTGATGACAATAATTAAGAATATAATTATTAAAGTTTTATTAATAGATTTCCACATCACTCATGAGGTACTATTGTTAGTGCGTTTTTTTTTTAAGAAAATCCAATTAATATTTCTATAAAAATTGGCTATTTTGCGCTCTGTACTTATTCTTCCTCTTTCGTTTTTATATTTCTCACGATGTAGCATTTCGCTTTCCTGTTGAGCCATATAAAGGGTGTCCCAAATTCAAGCAAGAAGTAATTTTGATAGAAAACAAGTTTATTATTAAAAATTGTAAATTTTTTATTGATTCATAAAGTATACAGTATAGGGTTATGTATGGAATAACATATCGGGTAAATGGCCTCCACGGCTTTGCTGGCACATATGCACTCTTTTGTTGAAATTTTCCATGACCGTTTTGCATAAATGTGGCTGAATTTCGTTGATACAGTGCTCAATTTCCTCCTTCAAGGTGTGGGTGATCGTGGGCTTGTTGGCATAAACCTTAGACTTCAAAAAACCCCAAAGAAAAAAGTCCGACAGCGTTAAATCGCATGATCTGGGTGGCCAAATCTGATCACCAAAACGGGAAATTACACGACCAGGAAATGACTCATGCAGTAATTGAATTGTTTCTCGGGCTGTATGGCATGTGGCACCATCTTGTTGAAACCACATGTCGTCCACATCCATATCTTGCAATTTAGGCACAAAAACTGGATTATCATGTCGCGATAGCGAACACCATTAACTGTTATTGCCTAACCAGCATTTTCAAAGAATGGTTCGATGATGCCTCCAGCCCAAAATCTGCACCAAACAGTGACACGTTGTGGATGCATTTGTTTTTCGACAATCACTCCTGCATTTTCTGAACCACAAATGCGACAATTTTGTCGATTAACCAAGTCATCAAGATGAAAATGAGCCTCATCGCTGAAGATGATTTTGTTCGAAAAATCAGCATCTATTTATTGTTGTTCCATAATCCATTCAACGAACTCTTTTCGCTGTGGCCGTTTGCCCGATGTGCTATTCCATACATAACCCTATACTGTATACTTTATGAAACAATAAAAAATTTACAAATTTTAATTATAAACCTGTGTTTTCTATCAAAATTATTTCTTGCATGAATTTTGGGACACCCTTTATTTCATTTTCATTAATTTTTAGTGGAGTAGGCCTACTGAAGAAACCACTTAAAAAAAACGCAATAGTACCTCATGGGTGATGTGGAAATCTATTGGTAAAACTTTAATAATTATATTCTTAATTATTATCATCACTATATTATTATTGAAGAGAATTTATTATATTAGAAATAAAAGCGTAATATTTCATCACCAATGAGAGTAAGAATTATTTTTTAGGATAAATAAATATTTTAATTTTGATTTGACGGAGGGTGCGAACCCAACTTATATCGTATATGAGACCGTTCCTGAGGTAGAGCATCTCACGCGCGATCGGCGGCTCGGCCGCCGCGCTTCGAGAGGTAGTGGGGGAAGCGCGAGCGTTGCCTTTGAAATCGGCTCGTGCTGCTCACTTAATTCCCAGCACTACCTTATATGATAAAATCATGTCAAGTTTCTTAATCACCTTTGGCATTGCAGATCGTATGCATTCAGTCAAAATCGCTTCGTCATCTGAGTGATTCGGACTATCGTCGGAAAGTTCGTCTGGATGTCTCAATGACACACTGTCTAGTGATTTAACCATTATAGGATTCTTATTTGTGTGACTCGTTTCAACAGGCGAAGAGGATGGCGTGCCGTAAATATTGAATTTATGTGACGATAATTCGGATTTCTTGACGAATAGTATACTGCTTGTCGGAGGTGGCGTTATTTGCCTTGGCTATAAATAATAATGATTAACTTATTCAGTGTATAAACGTCGCTTGTATAGTTATATTTATATTAATAAATTAATTATAATTAATTATTATTATTAATTAATTATAATTAATATAATTAATTATAATTATATTAATAGTGGAAATTAATATGAATTATACTGTCCGACAAATTTTGACTTTTTTTTGCCCTGGTAGTGCAAATACTCATTTGCGACGTATTTTTGGCCACTAAACACAAATTTATTATCCAAATTTAACTTGAAATAAAATTTGATCACAATTTTAAGAGAAATGTTTAAATAAAATGAGCTAAAAATAACGATTCTGAGGGATTCTGCAGCGTTGCAGCAGTGGCAAATAATTGTTTTTAATTTCATTGGTGCTATACAAAAATACAAACTTTAAATTTTGAAAATAACTTTTCATTTTCGAGATAGAATTGTTTGGAAATAGTCTCTTTCTCATATAATAAAGCAAAAGAAATTTTATTCTGTCTTAAACTATTAACGCCCAAAAGTCCTAAAATATTGACCTTACTTTGCAACTGTATTTTATGTAGAAAAACATATTATATAAGGTTGGAATAGCATTTCCTTATGTTTTCGGGGTCGTTCTACAAGATTCCGGCATCTGAATTCGTTTAGATTCACAATAAAATCCAATATGGCGGAATTTTTGGAAAAAAGTCGTGAAAAATTGACAATTTTATTTTTTATAAGCTTGATTTCGTATCAAAAACGTTACTTTGATACAGATACAAGTGTCACATCTTATCTAAAAAATGTTGAACTTTCAAGGTATGCATTGATGAAAATGTGAATTCAAGATGGCTGCCTCAAAATGGCGGTTTGAGCGAAAAAACTTAAAAAATAATGTATTTTTAGAATAACTTCGCAAAATCCTAGTATTTAGTATCAATTTAGTATCCAGAGTACTGATTTTAGGAAATTTACTGACAATTAATTCATATTAGAGAATTTCAAAATGGTAGATCCAAGATGGCAACTAAAAAAGGCACGAATAATCGTGAAAATTTCCAGATTTTCATGAAACTTTTTCTATTATTTTCATATTCACGAATTGTTTTCGGGACGTACACACACACGTATACAGGGTGGATAATTATAAACTTACAAACTTTATAAAAAACATAAAAAACATCGAGATAAGTACAACGGACGAGAAAAAATAAAAACCGACTATGTAAAGTTTTGAAAAAATTGCTAAATAAATGAGCGAATAAACGCTCAGTGGGCATGCATTGTGGGCATCGCAGGCATGCTACTCCGCACGGCTTGGGCCGAATTGGCAGGCAACAACAGCGGACCGATGCACGCCGTTGTTGCTTGTCAATCCGGTCCAAGCTGTGTGGAGTAGCAAGCCCGCGATGTCCAACCACTGCGCATTTATTCGCTCATTTATTTAATAATTTTTCTCCAAACTTTACGACGTAGTCGATTCCAATTTTTTCCCGTCCGTTGTACTTATCTCGATGTTTTTCATAAAGTTAGTATAATTACCCCACCCTGTATATGTGCGTGTATACGTCCCGAAAATAATTCATGAATATGAAAATAATAGAAGAAAATTCATGAAAATCTGGAAATTTTCACGATTATTCGTGCCTTTTAGTCGCCATCTTGGATCCGCCATTTTGAAATTCTCTAATATGAATTAGTTGTCAGCAAATATCCTAAAATCAGTACTCTGGATACTAAATTGATGCTAAATACTAGGATTTTGCGAAGTTATTCTAAAAATACATTATTTTTTAAGTTTTTTTCGCTCAAATCGCCATTTTGAGGCAGCCATCTTGAATTCACATTTTCATCAATGCATACCTTGAAAGTTCAACATTTTTTAGACAAGATGTGACACTTGTATCTGTATCAAAGTAACGTTTTTGATACGAAATCAAGCTTATAAAAAATAAAATTGTCAATTTTTCACGACTTTTTTCCAACAATTCCGCCATATTGGATTTTATTGTGAATCTAAACGAATTCTGATGCCAGAATCTTGTAGAACGATCCCGAAAACATAAGGAAATGCTATTCCAACCTTATATAATATTCTCTTATATAATATTCTCTTATATAATAATATTTCTCTACATAAAATACAGTTGCAAAGTAAGGTCAATATTTTAGGACTTTTGGGTGTTAATGGGTTAATATTATCGTGTAGAAAGTAATTACTTTTTGTGTCCTTTAGTGTCTCATTTTAACTTAGATACCGAAATATCTTGAAAACAATGAATTTTCGAAAAACAAATGTTTCAGATAAAAGTTGTAGGGTTTAAAGGAGGCCATTAGATAAGCTACTAAGATTTTGAGTTCTGGACCTAATTTGGGTCCAATATAGTTTAGATTAATTTTTTTCGTTAAAAACACCTATTTTTTAGTGAAAATTCTATATAATTAGAAATATTCTATAGGAACATAGAAACATTCTATGGAAAAAAAGGAAATTGTATTCTTGATAATTTTTCGCTTCTCCTTCAATAGGCGCGAAATAGTCCTTGTAAATTGTAGGAATAGTAGATCAAAAAACTTTTGGTTCTCGTTCTATTTGACGAATGCTGACATGTGGATTCAAATGGATCATGTTCAAATCGGATTCGATAATATTAAATTATTACTGATTAAACAATTATTAAAAAATTGGTGCTACGACAAATTTATCCACAGAAAACTTGGTAACTAAATAATACTATCTATCACTGTTTTTTCTTAAGAAAGCAAGGGAGAATAATAGATATGTAATAAGATTAAATTTTGATAGACGATCAAAAGAAATATAAAGTTTTTATGAATATCACCTACAATATTTTAACGTGTTCTATAATGATATATGAATAAAATATTTTTATTCATATATCATTATATAATTAGCAACGAGTACTATTGACGATGATGAAATAAAATTATCTTTTAGAAGTCTCCCAATGTTTCCCCAAAGACACATCGTTTGCTGGTCTTGCCTTCATTGAATGGAATATGTTTCAAAATAAAAACTGAACATTATTTTGTATCTATTGGAGAACAATTTAATGAACAATTGCAAACAACAAAATTTCCTTATTTTTTTTATAAAATACGCAATAAAATGCAATATCTGCATTATCTGCAGAATTTCCAATAAAAAGTAAATATTTCTATCGAAAAAATCTACCTAGACTTACTGGGGCCCAAAATCTAAGTAGCTTATCTGATGGCTTCTTTCAAATCCTACAACTTTCATTTAAAATATTGTTTTTTCGAAAATGCATTATTTCCAGTGATATTCCGGTGTACGTTAGAATAGAACATCCTTCATATCAATATCTTTAACATAAGACATAGCACATAAAAATGCTTCACATAATCAAAAATGTTATATATTACTCTCAGACACTGTATGACGTTATGCGATAAATACTTGCCGCGCATATCAAGTGTAGGAATAAATGTAAATTTTTATAAAATGTACTTGATTCTATCAAAAAATAAAAAAAATTCAACGAAAGCAGCAAATATATAAATATACCTTAGGTATACCCGACTGAATGCACTCATCCAATATTTTTTCATCCTCTCCCGAAAGATTAGAACTTTCGTCAGATAAGTCGTTCCTGTGGCACTCAACTTCCACTGACTTCGCCTGCTCAATCTTCTCGATATCCTCTTGCACACTCGGCATTGAGAGGGCAGATAGATTGGACTGAGATCCGACCGGAGAGATGTCCGCAGGTGTATCCTCCGTGCAATATACGTGCATAGTATCGGGAGCAACGCCAATTTCTATAGCAGTTTTACTAGTTTTCGAAGCGCCAATAGTCTCAACGGAAACCACAGGCATGTGCGATTCTAATCTATTCGGCATAGAATTTCTCTGAAATGGTGCCAAAATATTTGACGGCTCTGATTGTGTAGGTTTCTGAGAATTGAGCATCTTGAAAGACTGTCTGTATCTGTAACATATATGAATGTTATTCCACATAAAAAGATTCATATAATTTCCATATACATATACGCACACAATATGATTTTGAAATTTCCAAAGGTCATCAAGTTAACAAAAGTTAGGACACTATTGTATATATTATAACAGTATATTCTTGAGGTCAAATAGAGTAAAAAAGTTTAGTACTATTTTTTCTTCCGATGAATAGCTACCAAGATATTATATCATGAACTAAATGTTAAAGAAATTATCAAGTTTCCCTTAAATATTTCAAAAAATATTAATAAAAAAATGTTTCAGATAAAAGTTGTTCAAATTGGTTGATAGAAAAAAAATGATATAATAAGAAATTGAGGTTTCCATTTACAATTTATATTCTTAAAATTTATTTTGATTTGACCTCTATTTGATCCCTAAGTGAAATTCAAATTCACAACTAGATATCCATTTCCAAACCCTAAAATTTTTATGTGTAACATTTATTTTCAAAAATGTCATGCCTTCAAATTAATTAGCAATACCTATCTTTCTGGTACATCATATATATATCCATGTATCACATGTACCATATGTATGCATATATATACATGTACAGCTCATGTATATATGTGTCTATACATTAATTTGATGATTTTGAAATTTCCAAAAGTCAATAAAAGTTAATAAAAGTCAGGGCATTATTATAATAATATATTTTTGAGATTAAATAGAGCAAAAAAGTCTAGTATCACTTTTTCTTCCGACAAATAGTTAGCGAGATATCGTAAGTACAATATTAAAAAAGTTATCAAGTTTTCCAATATCTCAATCTCAAAAAATATCTCAAAAAATATTAGGCAAATAAAAAAATATTTCAGACAAAAGTTGTTTAAATTAATTGGTAGGAAAAGACAGTGTAATAAAAAATTGGGATTTCTATTTAAGAAAAGTAATGATCAGTGAATATCTCGAAAGTGGTGCCATTTGTAAACAAAATAGTATAATTGTTTTTAATAATATAATTGCCTCCTTGAAATCATACAACTTTTGTCCTAAACATTTTTGCTGAAAATGCTTCGTTGAAGAATTATCGAAGTGTGTTTTTTTTAAATGGAATACTCTATACATACACACACACACACGCATACACGCACACGCACACACATGCACACGCACACATATATGTATGATCAATCAATTAAATGCTTATATACAAGATATTACCTGTTGGTTTGCATTCCCATATTGATACAAGCAGCTAACATATCCTCATCATCTTCGTCGGCGTCACTCACTTGTTCCTCTTTCACTTTGCTTTCGGAGTCACTTATTGTCAGGTTGAGCATATCTTTCTCAATTCTGCAAATATTTTTCTCACTAGTTTCATTGGATACCTTTTCTAATCTACAATATGTTTTGGTGTCATTAAGTATCTTGACTTCGTCGTCGATTGTGAGGGAACTTAGACTGGTCGCAGTAGAAAATTCAACCGGTGTTGATTCTTCCTTGAAAGTAGCAACCTCATCTTCAAAAACACTACCTCTAGTGATTTGTGGTTTGGAATATGCTATAACAAATAACTTATACAATCTCCCAACAAGTATTTATATTATTATATTTGTTTACATTAATGTTACTATTGCTATTACTATTATTGCATTGATGATCAATAGCATTGCATACATAAATGTCGGACAGATGGTCTTACTGCTTCGTCTTGCATTTTTGATATAAATTCAGCATTCTGAGTTTTATGATTACGTGGGCTAGGTAAAACTGTTTGTGTAGGTGAATCTGGCAACTCACTAGGTGATACTACACCACTGGTCCTACGGCTAAGGAAATATTCACAATGCTTTTAAATCCACCATTTTTAATTCTGCTATTCCAATATTATACAACTCACCTAAAATCACTGACTACAGAACTACGATCATCATGAATAGAATGCTGTTCAAATCCACTTAGAGAACCAAGCGAACTACAACGTGAAAACATCAGAGGAGTTTCTTCAGCATAGTAATCTTGACCACCAAATGTTACCATTTTTCCTAAAACATATATTCTTTTATGTGAACAAACTGTATATACTTTTATGACTTTATATATTTTATAATTTACTTTTAAACATATATACTTTTATATAACTAAACAGTTAATATATGCTTATTAGATTCACATATATAGAATTGTTTTCCCATATTCTGATAATTTGAACACCAATACAAACCTTCCTTATCTAACACACGAGAATTATTTTTATTTGCAGACAGTTCACTGTTTTGTGAAGGCAGTCTCATTTGATTACTATTCAAGCTCAGAACACTATGATCATCGCTCTCTAGCTCTTCTTTGTTCACAGAATTGGGCAAATCTACCTTCGATATAACTCCTGGAATGTTATTCTGAGGGGTCATTGCGCTACTCAGAGAACTAAGTGAATTAGCGCGCGAGAAACCGTGTGACGTTCCCTCTTCATAATAACTTACTATCTTCTGTGGGGTCACTTGTCCAGGATTTAAAACCACAGTATCCTTTGGATTCTCCTCCAGTTCTTCTTCTTTCCTTACCAAACTACCACCCTCATTGTGGTCGAGCGAAGTAGCTTGCTTGATGAAAGACACAGGACTCTTGTTATCCATCTCGATTGTCTTTTTCGGCATCTTTTTCAGACCATCGCCTTCCTTCGTGTCTTCGACCCGCAAGTCTGACATTGAAGTCGCCGTAGAGAAATTGAAAGGAGTCTCATACGGAGTGCCCTCGGTGCAGTACGTCTTGACAGTATCTTCCTGTTCGCCACCAGGAAAATATTCGGTGCTCTGTTTCTCGTCATCATCCGTATCGTCCTCGGCATATCGCAAACTGTAATCCGTAGGTTGATCGAGATCGGTTTCGGCGTAAAACAGATCCACCTTAGAGTCCCGATCACGAAACTCTTTCTCCATATTGACAATTTTAACAGCTGAATTGATCGATGCGCATAGTTGTCAGGTGAGGGAACACAGGGAATAGCCTCAAATTCAGATGTTCAACAATCTACTTTTTGTCATAAACTATACATTGTTACTGAAAATCAACTTCTTCTTTTATGATATGGCTTGACGATATTCCTTCCTTTAATAGTTAACTCTGCTCTGAGAATCAACAATCTTTATTTTTGTTTTGTGATATATCATTGGAATCTGTAAGTTTATCCCTATGTCATCTAGCTATAACTGGTTATAACTAGAGATGTTTATCGATATTTGAAATTATCGAATATTCGATATTATTTTTATTTCGATATACAAATATCGAATAGAAAAAAATATGAATAAAAATCGAATAAATATATTTTTCAACGAATATTTATTGAATATTTTTTTAAAAGTGATTTTTTTAATATAAAGCTAAAGTCAGTAGCACACGGTGCTTGTTTTAGTGACTACTAGAATGTGACTACTAGAACTATGTTTTCATGCTAGTTTTAGTGACATACTAGAAATATTACATTCTGATTGGCTGCGTTCAGCAGAACAAAATGATTAGTGAGCACTTAGTGATTCTCGCTCTTGATTGGTAAATACTCCTAGGTCTATGAAGGATCTAAAAGAATGCTCCAGTCACAGACAATAATCACTAAGTGCTCACTGATCATTTTGTTCTGCTGAACGCAGCCAATATTACATGGGTGCGTTCGGAAACAGTGTGCTTCGGTTGTTTCAGTGGAACAGTAGTTTAGGTTTGTTCTTTTTCCACACTTCAGGACTGAACTCTGTGAAAAGTGTACACTGAAACGTTCTTTTTCTCGGAAGTGACGTTAGACTTGCTGTTCTTTTTCGAAGTGCAGTTGTCCTAGGTCTAAAATAGTTCTGAATTCGCTGCCCCAGGTCTTTAGACAGTGCAAGAGTTCAGCCATAAAATTCTAGCGGAAATTTCAAATGAAAAGTCTGCCGTACTACGCATTTTGATGAAGAATAAGAAAGAAGAACGAGAAATTAGTAAGTAAATACATCTAACCTAACCTTTTAATCAGCCTTCTGAAATAAAATTACGTGTTTTTCTTAAATATATAAATTAGTTCTTCTCGTTATTCTACGTATAAAGAAATATTAATCGAAAAATAAATTTGAGATACTTCCCAGTAAGCAAATTGCCCGCAGAATCCCAGCAATTTGCAGTAACGTTGTATATAACGTTACGAACTACATATTTCAAAACATTACATTATTGAACATCGTAATAATAATGTGTTGATAATATTTTGTTTAGTGGGTATATGCATAGAAACAATAACACGATGGCAGAAAATCAAAAGGACAACATTGGACATATTTCTAAGGATGACATCGGTAATATAATTATCAACAAAGAGGGATGTGTCACATGCACTTGTGGAGGTATGAAATTAATATATACTTATACTATTTACGTTTTGATATGTAAATCGATAATTAAGTAAATAAATAATTGATTTTAAGAAAACTAAATTTATCTTATTTGCAGATCTGATATTTCAACTGCCTTACAGTGAAATTGATTTTACATACGATACACTACAATGTACGGTTGCAGACAAAACAATATTTATAGAATTGCATGAAAATGCAAAAAATATACCTTTGAATAATAATATAGCTCAAAAACCATCTCAAGAATATAATAGAAAAGAAATATTTTCATGGAACGACGCAAGAACTAAGTTATTTTTAACTTTATATAAAGAACACAAAGAACTATTGGCAACTAGAAAAATAAAGACACATAAATTATTATGGCAAAAAATTGCTGAACTTATGCAATCACATGGATATAACACAACAGTTTCTCAAGTGGAAAATAAATTTAAATCACTTGAAAGATCCTACAAAAACATGATTACAAATAATAAACAAACTGGTAGAGGACGCGTATCATGCACATATGAAACGTAAATAATAATTAATTTTACATTTTGTAAAAGACTTAAGCACGTAAAAAACATATTGTTTACTTATTACAGAGAATTGACTGAACTATTGGGACATAAGCATAATATTGAACCCTTAGCGGTAACAGGCAGGCAAGGTTTAATTTTAAGAGAAGAAATACGAGCGAATACATTCACGTAAATATCATAATAGACATTTTATTTTTTTAATTGAATGTATACAATATAAATTTCAATTAATGTATCATATTTAAAATATATTCCATTACTGTATTGTCATTAAATAGAAATCAATTATGTTTGTGCAGAATTCTTTTATATACTCATTATGTGTATTTATTTAGATCTAACAATGACACTAATGTAGATGAGCCATCTAATTCAAACAACACCATTTTAAACGACAATACTAGTTATCTTGCCAGCCAGCCCAGTACAAGCGAAACTAATATCCATCCAATCAATACAACTGATATCAATACAAGCAATAGAACCGATACCAATATAACCCAAAACATTACACAACAGATTACACAAACATCAAACAAGATTTCTAGAAAACATATGGGTACTACTGGCAGATTGTTGCAAACGTGTCAGAAAACACTTCAAGATATCTTAAATATTATCGAAGAAGATAGAGCGGCTAAATTAGACATACAAAAACAAATGTTGGCTGAGTATAAACATATGCGCAATACATATACAGAAAGTTTTAATAATATAAATGACAATTAAACACAGCAAATATAATAAGGGAAAAGAACAATTAAAAATAGCAAATATAATAAGGGAAAAGAAAAATAAACTTTTAGAGGATCTTATTTTAGAATTAAAACATAAACGGAATTAATACATTTCACATATTTGTTTATCAATGTATCTATTTAATGTTTATTATATTTTTGTTACATATATTTTTCTTATATTTTTGTCACGTGTATTTTTGTTATACATACATTGTTATACATACATTTAAATACAAATAATATTCCTTTTAAATTATTTTTTTATTGTCAACCAGTTTTTTTTCTATATTACTTATAAAAAACCCATATTATAATACATTTTTGTACATATTCTATAATTTATTAAAAATTTATTTTGTATAAAATTATAAACTCTTTAGTTTACAAATAATTGGTGGCATATTTCGTCACGAATGTGTATTCCAGTTTCAATCTCTCTTGGTGCTATATCTATTTCGGTATGTAGTCTTTGTGCTTCAATGTCAGGTTGCTCGTCATCTATAGGTGCTTCGAAAATTTCTAAATCGTTTGCATTTGCTATATTATGAAGCACGCAACATGCGTGTATCACACATGTCATTCGTGGTATATCTCGCAGTTTAAAATGGTACAATTGCCGAAACCGTTGCTTGAGACATCCAAATGCATTTTCAATTATGACTCTACAAGAACTTAATTTTTGGTTAAATGTCCTTTGCGCACGTGTTAAATGTCCATTGTCCCTATAAGGCACAATCAACTGTTTTAGACAAGGATACGCACTATCTCCCAACAGATAATTATCTGAAAAGTAAGTTTATTTAAACATCAATTGTTATTAGTTTATACTTTTATATTTTATAATTTTTCAACTAACTTCCACAGAGTTCATGCAAATCATTGCGTATTGGTGAATTTTTAAATACTCTTGCATCGTGCACCGAATCAGGATATCCAATAAATACATCCATAAATTTCATATGATGGTTAACTGTTCCCTGAATATGTAAAGAAAAACATTGCTTCCGATTAATATATAATTCAGGATCTTCTGTTGGCTTATCTATTCTAATGTGGGAACCATCAATAGCGCCTAAAACAAATATCAACGTATGAATAAAATATTTTTAATATTTACACGATAAGAAAATGTAACATTGAAATATATATATATTCATGTCATATATGGAGTAATTGGTATATAAATATATAACATTGTAAATATAATATAATAATTATAAAATATAATATTTACCAATAACTCCAGGAAAGCCTTTTTTTTCATAGTAAAAGGCTGCTGTTTCTTCTTTTTCAATTATAGTGGGATATCTAATAATATCAGGTGCCATAGATATTATAAAATCAGTGACCCTCGTGATAATTTTGTGCAAAGCGCTTAAAGTTACTCCAAATCTATCAGCTACGTCACGATATGATGCACTTTCATGGCCTATAAACCATAAATAACTTAAAATATGCTTTTCAGCTGTTATTTTTGAACGTCCTGAATCATCTGAAAGAATAACATATATTAAATAGTTGATATTAATATCATAACAGTATTAAAAAAAAATAGAATCTATATTAAGCTATTAACTATTCATTTTTCTTTTCTGCAGTTCTTATTTATTCTATATATTTCTATTTCTATAAAAGAAGCTATTATTTCAAAAATTGTGTTTATTTTTTGTGTTTTTCAATTAGCGACACAGGTCGACACAAGAGTCATTGGCTACGTTCAGCCAAAAAAGCTGCTTTGCAATTGTTGTAAGATTCTTTAATATGATTGATTCTTGCTCTTGGTTGTAACTGTATTCAATCATATAAAAGAATCTTACAATAGTTTTAAAGCTGTAAAGTTTCTGCTGAACATAGCCATTATGTCCTTGTTTCTCATCGAGTATTAAATAAAGACAGAATGACTTTTATGTCGACTTGTGTCACTAACTGAAAAGTACCCTTCAAAAAATAATTTATCTTCTAAAAATAATATTAATTAACATACCTTGTAAGGAAGTAAATATTTCACACATGCTGAATTTAGCTGAGTTCATGTGCTATTTCTCTCGATAAACGAAAATGCATAATAAAATCAATATTGTCATAACTCCGAACAATGTTTTCAATGTAATTGATTATTTTTACATGTTCTATTCTTTGAATCATTCCAAAAATTGGGTGCAATAGATGTAACTCGTCATAACCTAAAAAATTGTTAAATAAATTCTTCTAAGTTTTCCACCTTTCCAACAACCACAATTTGTTTATCATATTAAATTATATATCACCATCGTCATCTTCAATTACGGGTATTTCTGGTGGTGGTACCATGATTACATTCTCTTCATCTGAAGAATCAATTAACTCCAAAATACTAGCACATTGATCCGCCATGTAGATTGCTACACTATAAGCGTTCTTTACACACTGGTATGAATTCTTGCACTTGGACTGAACTCGCGTGAACTTCCCTACTATAGTTCAGTTCTAGTGCAGTCCTGGAGTGTGGAAAAAGAACAAACCTATAGTTGCAACTCGGTGCAATAACGACGAGGTGAGAAAATCGTCGTGAAATATAAAAAGTGTAGTCAGTGTAATTGAAAGGAATCGTTCTTCCTATTGGTCGCCGCCGCTGATAATGCGCGAACGGATTGGCACGCAAGTGGGCGGTCCGGCGGGGCTTTATTGATTTAAATTTGGTTTGCCGGCTCGCGTGTCAATAGTCAACATAGCGCAGTCGCCGCGTGTACTACGGTTGTCTTATCGACGCGCTCGAAGTGTGCACATCTGCGGCGACAGTTTAGTCTCAGGAGAGTGGAATATGTTCGATAGAAAGAAGTATGAGAAGAGCGCGGAAATGGCGATCACACCGCAGGGGCCGATCAAGTTCCAAAGCGCCGTGCCGAAAATCAGGTCAGTCAGTCGGTCTGCACTGTCGGTGTTTCTCGCCGGTGAGATCGTAGTCAGCGGGATCGATGGAGTGACGGAGACGTGCACTGGTGTCACGTTACATATGCGTTGGGTATGCGCGTTCATACGTAATCGTACGTAAATCGAGCACAGCGCGGCACAGCTAAAACCACGATTCGTTCTTAGTCCTCGTCTGATCTAACCCATAAAATCGTGTGCATAAAATCGCCACTGACCACGCCTCGAGTCGTATGTGTTTAAACGTACTTACGCTCGTGACTCACCGGTAGTCCGCTGTCGGAGTCGCGAATCTCGTGTGTCTTGAGTAGCAAATGCGACGATATTATTATTTGATACGCAATAACGATGAGGAGCACCTGATTCGTGGAAAATGCTTGTATGCAGCGATCTTTATTACCTGCCCGCTAAGAAATCTGTCAGTATTTGTCCGTGTAGTGAGTCGTAATCGATGTTAAATGGTCTGCTACATTTCGTGTCGTTTTTATTCTTTTGGACATCCAGATGTCCATTTCGCTTTACATGTAGAAAATGTCAGAGAATGTGGCGAGTAAGCGAGTAGACCGACGAGCCAAATACTGCGCGCGAGTTTTTAAAAATCGTTACTTTTTCGTTTGGTCGATTGGTCAATACGGCCGGTCACGTGGGGAAACTGCACGCCTCGCAACCAGTGATTTGAAACAATACACGGATTAAATAGATTTTGTTAGTATAACTGAATTTTCTGTTGCCTGAGAATCGAACGAAAACTCGATCACAGAAATAGAAAAATTTCTGTAGCAGATTTCTATCCGGTCAAGTGCTCTCATTTGTCAACTGAACTTCAATGCAGTTGAATGTTCAGACGTTGAACATTTTCGATCGCGCAGTAATAGAGAGTTAAAGATTTGATTTCTATGTACTAACTTAATGTACACTTCCGGATTTGAAAAGAGATAAATATACAGTTGAAGCTTATTGCAAAAGAAAAAAAGGAAAAGATAATTAGTGAGCCATAGACAGTCAATATAATGATAAAAACTAACCTCTATTGGCACAAAATATCCCAAAATCATTGAGTATGTGTCCTTGAAAGTTGAGAGTACTCTGAGGATATTTTGAGTACATTCAAAACGCTCTTAAAACGTCTTGTGTTATATGTAATATATTTAAAACGTTCTTAAAACGTCTTGTTATCTGGGAGATAAATATCACCCATTGCAGCACCGTTGCAGCAACATTGCAGCAACATTTTGTTGTTTTAGAAGATTGCAACATTGAAGAAACGATGCGAAATGTTGCTGCAATGTTGCTGCAATCTTGCAGCAAAGGTAAAATGTCCGCTTGCAGCAATATTGCAGTGAAATATTTCAGTAACATTGCAGTGTAACATTGCAGCAACATTTGTAATATAATTTGTATGCAATAATGCTTTATATATATATATGTATGTATATACAGGGTGTCCCATTTTAAAGGACTCACTCAAATATCTCAAAAACACTGCGTTAAATCGAAAAATGTTTCAGACAAAAGTTGTTTGGCTTGAAAGGGGACATAAGATAGCATTTTGTTTATAGATGGCACCACTTTCGAGATATTCACTAATCATCAATTTTCTTAAATAGAAATCTCAATCTTTTATTATATTATCTTTTTCGACCAACTAATTTGAACAACTTTTGTCTGAAATATTTTTTTATTTGCTTAATATTTTTTTAGATATTTAAGAAAAACTTGGTAATTTTTTCACCATTTAACTTACGATATCTCGCTAACTATTCGTCGAAAGAAAAAATAGTATTACTCTTTTATTTTATTTACTATCAAGAAAATATTACTATAATAATGCTCTAACTTTTGTTAACTTATCGACCTTTGAAAATTTCAAAATTATTAAATTAACGGGACACACTTTCCTCTTGTTGTGATAATCAATAATTTTCCATAAAAATTCTGTAACAATAATCATGAGAGATAATATGTTCAACTCAACATTTGTATAAATTTCACTAATTATTTACAGTGAATGATTATCATACAGCAAAAGAAAAGTGTTCAGAACATTTTACAAATTTGTAAAATCGATCATATGTGTCGTTTTATGGAAATCTCTTATTTTAACGTACATAAAAAAAAGATTAATATACCATTATTTTCACTTCTGACATCAAACAAGAATAGTCACAGAAAGTTCCCAAGATCTGTAATATTTCAAAGAATAAAATGATATCTTAAAAGACGCCGTTTTATTGACACAATAGAACGTGAATAAGATGTCACTTTGCTATTTGGAATAATACAGGTCTTAAAGATTTGCGGTAACTATTCTTGAATTAGTAAGACGTATAAGTTTGTGATATGAAACTAAATCATTGTAAAACCAAATCGTAGTGATTAAATGTAATTGGTGATTACATATGAGAATTAGAGTAATGTATAGTGTCCCATAATTGTAACATACCAACTCCATAGGGGCGTAGAGCTAAGCGAGAGAAACGAAAACATCCTCTTCCATTTAGCGATATTTCGTATAATTTTTTAATAATAACCGCAATTTGAAATGTTGCTGCAACATTGCAGATATATAATAATGCAAAATATTGTTTTTGCAATATCTCTGCAATATTGTACTGCAATGTGCAATGTTGCAACATTGCAGCAATATTGCTGCAATTGTCTGTGCTGTATGGGCAGTAAGCGAAATATTAGTAGGCTGTCAGCAGATTAACAACAGGTTCGAGTAAGATCTGGTTATGATGAAAACATAAATATTTGCGTTCGCTTCTTATATTCCGTCAATAGAATTTGACAACAGATTGGTAATGGAAACCTACAGTATGTTTCATTTCAAAACATTGAAACGCTTAGAAAGCGATAAATCCCGTTCTATTCCTGCCGTAAATTTGTCATTATATGCTGCTAATAAATTCTGTTGTATTTTTGCTATCAAGCTGCTGACAATTTTTATAGCAAACATTGCACAAGAAATTTATTGTTACAAGTTTGACTATTTGGGCTGTTTTTCGTTTAATTCCTGTTTAACTGCAGGAACTGAAATGTTTCTTTTCGTATTGATGTCTTTTCGTTTCCCTCTTCCGGTACTTTTTAAAAGTCGGTGATATATATTGAGCTTCAATAAAGCTTTAAATGTTTTTCAATCAAAAATGATTTTTAACATTTTCTAAATTTATATTTATCAACGTTTCTAATCGTCCTTGTCCTTGTGCCTATATATATATATTATGACCGTGATTACTCGACCAGGCTGTTGTAACATTTCGATAGTTTGAAAATATCATATAACATTTTCGGCTTATGATTTTTCTGAGACATTGTTTTAAGACGTCTTAAAAACATCGTGTTAAAGATTACTTTCGAACATTTACGTTTAAATAATAAAATGTTTGTATTCATATATTATATATATGGATTATATATTCTTATAATTATTTAAAACCTTAGAAAGGAAAAAATGTTTTATTTGTTATTGTTTGTTGTACTGCAGTCAGTGAAGAGTTCAGATTACAGAATTTATTTAACCATTCTTACTTAGAGTTAGGTACTTTTTGAATTGGATACCTTATATCTCTTTGAGTACTTATTTTTATTCTTAGAAATTTAGCGTTATTTTAATAAATAATAAGGATATCAGAGAGACAGACAGACAGAGAGACAGAGAGACAGAGAGACAGAGAGACAGAGAGAGAGAGAGAGAGAGAGAGAGAGAGAGATGTAATTAATGTTTCTAACATTTTTTTAAAAGTAGTTTCAGTAAGAAAATAATTTGAAAAATTTATTATGAAAAAGTAGAAAATCGATATAAAAATACAAAAATAATTTTTTTATTAAGATATGTAAAAAATCGCTAGATAGCTCTAATGAACGATGTAGGTAGTTCAATCAAAACATTTTTAGAGATATTAGCTAGGCAGCACAAGATGTCCGCAGGATGATCCTAATTATGTCGAGGATATGGAAATATCCTGAAAGTATCCCAGAATATTCTAGACATACTCAGGATAATCTTAGGATATTTTCAGGAGATTTAGTTGTATTATTGTAAATATTTTAAGAGAATTTTATGTGTATATTTTTGTTCATTAATTATAATGCAGCATGAGAAATAATTTCAGAATGTTAAATACTGTACTGTAATAAAATATAAATTCCTTATAAATGTCCACGGCATATCTGTTATTTGCATATCGTTTCAAATAGCATAAGAATCCAAATAGCACAATCTTCTGAAAGATGTCTCAAGAAGATAAATAATAGAAATATAACTTATTGAATTTGCTGTCGTCGAGTTGTGTCGAGATATGTATATGTGTGTGTGTACTTTCTGTTTTTCCCGTTTGAATTATAAAAAAAGAAAGCGTTCGAAATTTTTATGTTTTTTCGGTATGTATTGGATATGTTTATTAGTATTATATATAGTAAATATACATACATGAGAGAAATATATGTAATAATTTATATACATATACAGTGCCTATAAAAGGTACTGGGATGGTGAATTATCTCAAACACTAAGCATTCTAGAAAAAAATGTTTTAGACAAAAGTTGTATAGTTTCAAGGGAAACATAAAACAACTATATCATTTTGTTCACAGATGACGTCATTTTCGAGATATTCAGTGATCATCATTACTTTCCTTAAATGGAAACCCCAATTTTTTATTATATCATCTTTTTCTACCAATTAATTTCAATGCTACCAATTAATTTCAACAACTTTTGTCCGAGACATTTTTTTATTTGCCTAAAATTTTTAGAGAAATTTAAGGAAAACTTAGTAACTTTTCAATAGTTAACTTATGATATTGCTATTTATAGGGGAAAAAAGTAGTACTAGATTTTTTTTATTTGGTCTTAAGAATATCTTGTTACAATAGCTCTCTAACTTTTGCTAATTTGATTATTTTGAGATTTCCAAAGGTCAATTTTATATATATATAAAACTTATATATTATCCTTATATAAAGTGACATATTCCTTAGACATAACAAAAAATATAGACGTACAAACATTCTTAGTATATTTTTTATACTATGTCATGTCGTATTATATCTAGGCACAATGGGAACGATTAAAGACACTAACGAATTGTAGTCTATTAAATAAAATTCAGCCTTGATTGAAGCTTGGTGTACATATCTAGACTTGAGCGAATGGATGGAGAAGCAACAGAATGTGAAAAGCTCGCGTAGGATGAATTTATTTTGAAACAAATTCATAAATTACATATAGTGTCGACATTAATGAATATTCAATATGTGTTATTCAACTGATTTATATCTTTGCGTCGTTTTTTGATGTTTTGATGTTTTGATGTTTAAGGCAACAGTTGCTAAAGTGGAACGGTTGGGGTTACAAAGATTCCGAATTTCGTGTGAATGACGAAAATATCATAGAGTTCACTGGTAACAGGTAAGTCTCATATCAAGTTTAATTATGTTTGCCTTAAATCTGATAACGTTGCAACGTGTTGTAAATATGGAGCCTTCTATACATAAAAAAGCTAATTTACTATTTATTGCAGCCGCTTCACTACTGATATATTTTTCAGATATATATTTATGATATATTAAAAAAAGAATAAAACAAAATTTAAAAATAATATTCACATTTATTGAAACAGCTTAAGATTTAGTAAAACTTTATCACTTCATATATTTAAATTATCTTTTCTCAAATGTAAATACTAATATCGTTTTTATAAAAACGGCAACTTTGTCTTTATCATGCGAAATATGATAAATCCCTTCAAATATCATATTATATATTCCTATGTTTCCAAGCGAATTTTCAGACAGAATAAATCTCTAAAAGACATCTTTAAGGCATTCTTAAGAAATTTCTTGGAATCATATATCCGTGACCTACAAGTCAAACATTCTGATTTGCAAAACAGATGGTACAGTGTTGTATTGTGATTTAAAACAAGAAATTAGTATCGCAAGAAAACAAGGAAAAGAATAATTAAAAATCGTTAATTAAATTAATTTCGTTAACATATAATGTATGGAAATATATCTATTTTAAATGCATGTAAAGTGTCAATTCAATTAGACGGAATTAAGTTGAAGTAAATTAAATTCTTTTCATTTATTGAATTCAGAAGTAAAGAATAATAAACAAGCTATATTATTAAAGAAACAAAAATTACGCACTAAATTTATTTACGAAAGTAACATGCTAGCAAGAATATCGCTCCTTTTTTGCATATGATGATTTTATAGTTCACGTTGAGCAAATATATTTTGAGCAATAATCGAGATATCGTTGACAATTCTATGAAATAATCATTAATCATTGTACCACTAAATGTTAAGCCAGTCATGTTACACCAGTCTGTATGCATATGCATAAAATCCACATGTATAGCAAAAATGGAAATGTGTATATGTGTAGAATCCATAAAAGGTAATGTATGAAAATGCATATCTTGTGTTTATACCGTCTCACACACTCCTTTTCTCGCTTCGTATTAATTGCGTTAGGAATAAAAGCCTTCTGCAAAATCAACGTGATTTATTTACGTTTCGTATTTATTTATGCAATGAGCTGACTTGCTTATGCATGCTTTACAGCCGCGCATAATTAATTACTGGATTCTTGCGAGCGTTTTAATTAATATATATATATTTAAATATTAAATTTTAAATATTAAATATTAAATATTAAAAAAAGAAAACCGACGGTGTATCAGCATTGTACTGGGTAATTGCATCGCGTAAGATGAATGCATTAGCTCAAATGTCGGAATCCATCTCGGTTTCTTCGTACACGCCTACCTAACGAGCTAATGGTTGCGTTCAGAAAACAAAGCGCTCACTGAGCGCTTAGTAACTATTGGTCCTTAGTGTTAGATCCTTACATTCAGACCAATAACGTTGACGAATTACTCAACCGTTGTGTAACCGTTATGTTTTCTGAACGCAGCCAATAATTGCATTTGCATGATTACCGCCAAGTAAACGTCGTGTCACCGGCGCGTGTCGCAATGTCATCCGTTCTGCGGACATTGTTTTTTTTTCATATTGACATGAGTATGAATTTAACCTCGCTGGCTTATGTAATGTAACAGCTGACATCTCAACTTTCTTTTCTGAAAACTATCACTCATCATGGAACTCAGAAATCAATCGCTCACTTGGTGGCTTCCATATAAGCCGTACCTGTGTAACTCCGTTCCCTTTGTGTTACAAATGCGTTACGTATATTCTCATTTATGGTACAGAAAAGAAATCAATTATAGCTAGACATGTCACTATATAGTCAATGTCAGTTAGCGATAAAAATTAACACAAAAATGAATCCGCATATATGTTGATGTTGATGACGTCTGGACTATTGTATACAACAATTGGCATAATAAAGTTCGCTTGGAATGTTTATTAACGAACAGTGGTGATATTTTAGACTTCCGAGGTACAGAACAATATTTTATTTGATTTCTAGGTTGTATGCATGCACGCGCGCGTGTGTGCATGTGTGTGTGGCGTTCATCTTGAATTTATTTTTGATATTTCGTAAATTGGAATGCTCATAAAGGTTATTCTACAATACGTGTCGTAAGTTGTAAGGCCCCTTGCACAATGCCAGGCAACAAGCAATAAGAATAAAAATAGACCAATCACAATCGACTATTACAAGAATAATCTATTGTGATTGGTCTTTCTTTATTCTTATTGCCTGTTGCCTGGCATTATGCAAGGGGCTTAAGCCGTAAGAATTGGCGAATCACAGTCGATTATTACAAAAATAATCGGCTATAATTGGTCAGTTCTTACGGCTTACAACTTACGACGTTGTAGAATGACCTTTAGATGTCAGAAACAAATCCAAGAGCAGCACATAAATTTGGAAATCAAATCAAATATAATATGCAATAATCCTATTGAGTTTTTATAATCTCACGTGTTATAACATGCAGTAATTATTATTTTCAAAGTCACAATTCTTTTTCTTTATTTATGAATTATCAATTATTTGAAGAAATTATGTATCTGGAGTTAGGTAACTCTGTTATATTGATATGTTGAATACCAGACCATTTTTATATAGTTTATATAAAATATATATATCGTTTACAGCACCGAAATGAAATTTTTTGTTATGATATATTGTAGTAAAATATACAGGGTGTCTCATTTTAAATAAGCCAGACAAAAATCTCAAAAAATATGAAAGATACTAAGAAACATTTCAGACAAAAGTTGCATGGTTTCAAAAGGGACATAAAACAACTATATCATTTTGTTTATAAATAGCACCACTTTTGAGATATTCATTGATCATTAATCTTAAATGGAAACTGCCCATATGTATCTCGTTTACTTGATTCTGTTCACATGGATTCTATCTTATGTACCTTCTTTTTATATGTCTACTCTGCACATAACTCCATTTTGTTTGATCAGTCCTATTTGCCATTCATGTAATATCCACAGGTCTCTTGTTCTTTTAATTCTTCCTCAGATAGTTCCTGTGTACGTAGTCTATGTATTGTCAATAATATCCGCCCATATCAGCCTTGTTTATATGCCTCCCTTCCACGTGTCTCTGGCACACATAATTCCATTCTATCTAATCTCTGTTCACATGGCTTCACTTTATGTGATACCTGCCCTTGATTCCTGTTTCTGATGCTTTCTGAGCTGTTCACTTGATTCAGATGTGGTCCCTTCAGGTAGTAGTTTAAAAGGCCAATGACATGTTTCAGATATATCTTTAGAGGGAAATAAATACTTGTAGATAGTTACATAACTATTACGATAATAGAGAGAACTTATCTCATAACATCTCCATGGTTTATAAGATATGTAACGATTTCGGTTATTATATGTAGATGTTATTGTATATAGGTTTAGAAATTCTTTCGTATTTCTATTTTCTTCTGCTTTAGATTCCGACCTTAAGGTTAGAAGAAACGGACATTTAATTTGTGATGCCTTTAGAATATCTATTATTGTCTCATGATTTGTCAAATCAGTTTCAAATATGACAATCACATTTGGATGTTTATATAATGGGCTGTTTATATAATTGCTGTATAACATATGACAAACCTCATAATAGAATTCCTGTTGTCGTACTTGGCACAAAGTGCAAATTTCTTTCTTAATTGTGCCACTGATGGTATACATTAATTGTGCTCCTATCACTACAACTGTTAACTTCTCTATCTTACATAACAAATGTAGGACAGGTTCCCATGCACTTGCATATCTCACTTCAAGGAAGCTTGGTGCTACAACATGAATAACAAATTGAGGTTTATTCATTATTGAAAGACTTAATAATCCCGCATTCTTCATTCCATAATATAGTGTTAACGGTCCTGACATAATCGGTGTAAAAATATCCCATGTATGTCCAAAATTTATGTACTCTATCAGTATCGCGACGTATACGATCTGCAATACAGTCTACCATATGAATATATGTTCTTTCACAAGGTTCATTGATTACGTTTGTAAATCCTTCAAACGGAAGATTTGAGATATCTAATTTGAGACAAAATAATAATTGACGGCAATTATTTTGGTGCTGTTGTCGAAATTCGATTTCATGTTCATTGCAATAGTTATCAGACAAGCACACGGCGCATGGCTGCAAATCCGATTGCCGATGACAAATTCTACACGATTTTACGAACAATATTATCTGCATCTCATATAGGTACAATTCACGTGGCATTTTTTTCTTCAGTTTAATCAGAAATTTCGTCTGCGTTTTGATCCAATCAGCTGTGCTTAAAGGATATCTGAGATGTTCCTTTATAAAATCTTGTATAAATTCGCATAATTGCACGTGTATTCTATCTGCGTCTTTGTGTTCGTCGTTGCAATAATAAATCATGTGGCATCTAGAACATAGTATCAAGGGAGCGATCCTGTTAATTTTCTTGCAAAAGTGACAAACGTTTGGATGAAAGAACTTATTAATTTCTGCAAAATGGTACCACGAAACAGGTTTTATTACTTCTCTTAAAGTTGCTATGTTCATGACGATATATTTTATTTGCCTGATAAAAACAGATGCATTTTTATAATTTCAATTTAAGAATAATATGTGTGTGTATGTGTGTATGATACTGTATCTTAGCAGAAGTGAAAAAGTTCTCTATGCATAGTTTATTTTTTGTAACTCCTAAAGGCCGTGGGCCAGAGCACAGACTTTTGCAGAAGTCTCTGCTCTGCTTGCAGAAGTGCTCTGGCCCCATCTCACATAAACGAACTTAAGCAGTAAAGCCCTAAACACAATGCCAGGCAATAGGCAATAAGAATAAAATAGACTAATAGGAATAAAAATAGACCAATCACAATAGATTATTCTTGTAATAGTCGATTGTGATTGGTCTATTTTTATTCTTATTGCCTGTCATTGTGTTGCCTGGCATTGTGTTTAGGGCTTAAGACGTA